TAACCTCTTGCGCTGGCAACTGATTCGCGGACCATAACGAGTGACCGGACCGTGTACAATAATTCGTCGCTTTCTTTTTTTTTTTTGAACTCGTTCGTATGATATCACTAAATAGAAATGATTGAGAAGTAATAAATTTATTATATTTTACTCTTTTGCCTAAATAATATTATACTAAATTATATTTGTATTATACTATGAAATTATATCATATATATATATATTACTAAACTAAATTATGTATATATAGTATAGTATATTATAAAAATTATGTATATATAGTACTAAACTAAATTACAAAAATTATAAACTGTTATACTATCATATATATATATATATATATATTACTAAACTAAATTATAAAAATTATAAACTGTTATACTAAATTATATTGTTATATTGAAATATATTATTATATTAAATTATAAAAATTATTTAGTTCGTAGAATTATAATTCTATATTCTGTATAATATAATATAATTTAGTATAATATATATTATATATATAATATAATATAATATAATTTAATATAATAGTTTATAATTTTTATAATTTAGTATTATATATATATATTACTAAATTATATTCTAACTATATTATACTTTTGCCTGAATTATACTTAAATATACTTAAAACTGAGGAAATATTACAATTTTGGGACGAAAAGTTCTCGACGTGAGTGGCACAAGATCATTCCAGCGCAAGAGGTTAAACTCATCGTCTCGCATACGTTCGTCTCTCGAGCAACTCGTTTATCAAGTTCTTATCAACGATTTGCACTTTTATGGCAATGACGTCATCCCTGACTACTTGACAATTATACTAATTGCAGTGATATCTCGTTTTAAAGAACCGTCAGTCGGCGTTGCGGCGCATAATGCTAATGAATGAAATATGAAAATGAAATAACGGCGATAGAGGGGAGCGGTGCGCGGTGGGCAACGTGATTAACTTCGTTACTCGCGGGAGAGACACGCGTACTTATGTACATCGAGAGCCATTACATTACACTTTTCACCGGAGGCGGAGACGATTTGCTCGTTTCAGTGATGCGGCAGTAACAACCCAACTGTATTAAGAGGTCAAAAGGCCCAGGCTGCAGCCACCGTGGCACCGCGGTGGAACAGTTCTTCGCTTCAATATGGCGCAATCTAACTTATTATTAATTCCATGTTTGCGCGAAGACGTGACGCAGTTAAGCAAAGCGTTTTGCCGGGCGACGCTAATTAATGGTTCACGACACTTTATAAATACGGTTATTCTGATACAGCTGTTTGTTCGCTCGCGAAACTACCAACCAGAGTCGAATAATTCTGTCGGTTATCGCCACGCTGGTCGGCTGTACAGTCTGCTGGCTTTTTTCGATGAACAACGACTGCGATGAGAACAATAACGCTCTGTCGAGTATTTTATTGCATCTTGGAAAATTCGCGGGTGAATATTAAGAATGAGAATTATCCTACGTCGAATCATCGAGGACAGTTGGCTTGTTGTTAGGATTTACGTATTGACAGATTTGTCAATATTTGAGGAACGTTGGATAATATTTTTAGAAACACTAGCCTTAACAAATCTGGATGGGGACGATGAGAACAATGGAAAGATTTTCGAGAAATTGAACTAATATTATTCGTGAACTGATTGTTTTAAATTAAAACTTGAAAATGAATTAACCAGACAGGGAGAAAAAGAAGGAAATCGAGATAATTTTGTAATCTTTATTTTACAGTTTGATACAATTTTGTGAACGTACGTACATTTGATAATTTTACAATCATCGTTGAAAATCAATTATCAGACGAGGATGGAAAAAAAGCATTCAGATAATCTAACAACATTTGTTCTACAATTTGATAATTTCACAATCATCATTGAAAATAGATTATCAGATAAGGGTCGAGAGAAAAAAATTGAGATAAATTTGTAATCTTTGTTTTAGAATTTGGTACAATTTTGTGAACGTACGTACATTTGATAATCTTATAATCATCGTTGAAAATCAATTATCAAACGAGGATGAAAAGAAAACATTCAGATAATCCTACAATCTTTGTTCTACAATTTGATAATTTCACAATCATCATTGAAAATAGATTATCAGACAAGAGTGGAGAGAAAAAAAATTGAGATAATTTTATAACCTTTGTTTCAGAATTTGGCACAATCTTGTGAACGTACGTACATTTGATAATCTTATAATCATCGTTGAAAATCAATTATCAAACGAGGATGAAAAGAAAACATTCAGATAATCTTACAACCTTTGTTCTACAATTTGATAATTTCACAATCATCATTGAAAATAGATTATCAGACAAGGGAGAGAGAAAAGGTTGAGATAATTTTCTAATCTTTGTTTTACAGTTTGATACAATTTTGTGACGTGCGTACGTACACTTGTTAATTTTAATTATCATTAAAAATAGATTATCAGACAAGGGCGGAGAGAAAAGAAAATTGAGATAATTTCGTAATCATTATTTTACAATTTGATAATTTTATATCGTACATACAATGTACATATTATAGTATAGATATTTATATATACATGTATCACCGCATGTACATACATTCGATAATAGATGTTCAAATACTTTCGTGAACTGTTGCTCTATTTAATGAAATACTATTATTGAATCTATTGTTATGTATATACACATATAAATATATATAATAATAACACGTGTACGTACACATGTAGATATATTTAATGATAAGTATTCCGTGAACCACTGCGCAAACCAATTGAAAGATCAGATACAAAGACGAGCGTCGAATTCCCAAGACCGATGCATTATCGACAGATCGATCTCGTGATTGTTGGTACGAAGCCGGAAGCAAATATCTGATTCGCTCGGCGGAATTAGATAAATGTTAAAGTCATAAACAGCGAGAGAGAGAGAGAGAGAGAGAGAGAGAGAGACAGAGAGAGAGAGAGAGAGTCGTCAACTATGTTCATAATCTGCATGTTCTGACTCCATTCAGGTCGACCGCAAACGATTCCGGGCTGCAGTCGCGATTCTCTAGATACCGTGAAATATTGGTCTCGTCTCTCGTCACTCTCGTCCCTTGTGACGAGTCGGTTGGCCGCTGTCCGCGAGGATCAGACGTTCCGACGTCGTCGAAAAGCACAATCGAAAAGGAAAACGAAATCGCGGCTCGAGGCCGGAAACTCGCGCGAAACGGAACTACAGTGAGCAACGAAAATATTCGAACGGCGTGATAGAAAATAATTGATTATACAAAAATTGTATAATAAATTGGAATTTATTGAAACAAATTGTTTTTATACTATTGTATATACATTTGCTAAATACATGCAAAGATGTTATGTAATTTGTTTACTTATGGTTTAATTTTTCTCTGGCTTTGCATACATTTAGCAAATGTATATATATACAATAGTAAAAAAACCATCTGTTTCAATAAATTGCAATTTATTATACAATTTTTGTATAATCAATTATTTTTTTATCATGCCGTTCGAATACTTTCGTTACTCACTGTACGTTGCGTATACACGTAGAAAATGAAATTTCAGCTCGGCCAGGACAGAAGAAAGTCTCGAGTTTCGTTCGGGCACAAAACGCAACAAACCGGACTGAAATGTTTGCGCTTGTGTTTTTCATAGTTTAGCGATGTATATTTGGAGCAGAGTTACGGTCCTCCGTGAAACACGAAAACTGCCCGTCGATCGACTGATTGCACTCCACTCTGTATAAAACGAAGGCTTATCAGAAATTACAAATTTGAGAACTAATCTTCAATTGGAGCATATAGGAGAAGAAAATAGAAATTGAATACTCGTTGCATTTCGTAGATTTTTAATTACACGACACGCGCGTGACACTCTTGAATTTAATATCAAATCGAATTATACTCCTCGGTATTCTGCATATCGTTTACGTTACTTTTGATAACATTTCACCTTTGCTCGACTGCATATATTCTTCAAACAGCTTCGCGAGCCGAGATTAAATGAAGTGAAATTAAACCGGTGTCAGTTTCCCTTCGTCTCGTAAAGCTTGCAATTGAAATTTTCTAAATCGAGTTTGCGGAGGAGCAGTGAGTGTGTTACTTTACGCGACTTATGCTCCATTAATTCCATTGTCTTTTGATTAACGCAGAGACAACCAGTTTCAAATATCACCACCGAGTGATTAATGAACCTGCTCTGACGCTTTTCTGACGCTTTTCACGTCTCGTTTTATTTATGTTTAAGATACGCACGTAAATAGTTCTTTTATTCTAGCAATATGTCACGGTGGTCATTTGTATGTTTCTGGAAAATTTTTCCTCCCCTACTTCTCTTAAGAAAGATACATTTCCTAAACAATGCTCTGACAGCTTAGCTTTCTCTTAAAAGTTTCTTAAAAATTTTTTTCTTCTTAAAATTTTTAAAAATTTCATAACAACTTCATTCTAATGACCAAACGATGATTCATATATTTGTTTAAAATTCCACGAGTCACAAATTACTATAATATTAATAAGAATGCTTGTACAAAATTTAACAAATGTAATTTTATTGCTTGATGAAATATTGTAAATCCGTCACTGGAAAAGACTATCTATAACCCAAGTAACTTAATGACCTGTCGACATTTAACGACATTCAGACATAATAAACATATTCAGACTGTAAACATTTATGCAAGTTCACGCCTCTACGAAAATATTTTAAAGAAATGAAAATACACAGACAGAGACTTATCCCCAAATATTGTAACGAACAACTTGGTACTAGATATTAAATTTAAATTTCCCACAAATACATCTACACCCTGTTAAACGTTGCTAGTATCAACAATCGTTGCACAAGGGAAGAACTTCACGCCCATTCGTTAAAAATCTAATTGAATTAATGAGAATCTGAAACACACGGTGCTACGAAAGAATTACGTCTAGGTGTTCGTCGCGTCGTTCATGCGTATCGAGCTTGAAACGGGTGTGAAATCAGACGATCGACTTCCGGTGGGCCAGACGCGATCGAAAATCCAGCGTGGACGATTAAACAGCCCCAAGCCCCGGCAAACAAATCAAAGTCAAAATTCCCAATACTGAATGGGTTTCCTCGCGGTGGAGGCGCTCTGCGACTGCAATGGAACCTCCGTCGCGCCGCCCCAACCGGTTGGCTGTTACATCTCCGCTCGAGACATCCTACCATCCTGCAAACCGATCCTGAAAGCCACGGCGAGAGGAAGATGCGGCATTCGTCGCATGATCATTTCTACGTTTCTCCTTCTCGTTATCCTGGTGGCGATCTACTGCCTGTCCATCTCCTGCGAGCGATTACGATCGTTCGGCAGATCGGCGATGATTCAGATACAATCGACAGCTCGGAACCAACCTCAAATCTCACCGGCACCGGCTACCGAACAGGAGAGCGCGGAACAGCCACCGCCAGATGAGGGACATTTGTAAATAAAATCGTGAGTGTCTTCATTGGATTCAATTGTTTACCGGTTTATCAAGGTCAACAATGTGTAACCCTGTTCCTTAACCCTGCTACGTTCTCCGGCTACTTTTCTCTTCTTTTTTTTACATTTCGAAACTCGAAAAAGAGGAGAGAGTTTCGAGTTTTTAGGATTTCAAGATTTCACGAGATAGAAATCGATCGAATTCTCCGACGTTTCTAAGTCGGCGGGATTTCGGGATGATGTGATTAGGTTCTTTGACGGAATATGAGAGAATCGGTTGTCAGTGATTTTGAAAGTTTAAGCAATAAAGTAGCAGAACTGCAACTTTGGCAATATTGTAACATTATAAGTTTCACGTTTTGAATATTTATTATATATTTATGATATAACATTTATAATATTTATAATATATTATATATTTATATAATATATTATAATATAAATTTTATTATATAATATAATATAATATAATATTTATAATATATTTATTATAATAATTATTTCCTCAGAAAGTTAACACATAGTAAACAATTAATATTTCGAAACGCATATGATCTACAATCAAAAAGAGTTGAAGTAGACTTAGGTAATCGAAATTATAGTTAAATCAGCAAGACCTTGATTATTACTAATCGACCGATCAATTACGAAAAAAATCGGATATAATTGAATTTTTTAGAGACTTTGAAATTTGAATTTCACAAACACTAAGGTCCTGCTATCTGTTACAGCCGATCTGCGGTTATTTATTCTACATTTATAAAAAATGTAGAAGTGCAAAAATTTGCAGAATACACGTAATAGATGAAAGTACAATATTGTTTATGACATTATCATCGTGTTAGTAGCTCTTTTCATAAAATACAAATTGAAAGAGATAAACATCCAGAATTTGACACTAATTTGAAACTAAAGTGTAGAACTCCCACTTTCATGGCTGCAATGAAAGAAAAAAAGATTTATCTCCACTAAATGTCATAGTGTATAACATACCTAATCTACTTTCGTACATTACATGTATTCTGCGCGTTGCTGGAATTTTTAGTTTCAACAAAGAAAGAAAAAAAAAAAAACAGAAAAAAAATGCCTAAAAATCTGACTACAAACTGAAAATTATGTTTTCGACGTCGTTGGCTGATTCGGTAACAATATCCTCGTGGCAGATCGGGCTCGATCGCGATGCATCCATTTGTCGATCGATAGTGCCTGGACGTAAGTTCGAAGCGACGCACGAAAGGCGAGATGTGGGAGGGGGAAAAAAAAAGAAAAAAAAAAAGAGAGAAAAAAGAAGAAAGAAAGAAAGAAACGGGGAACGTTTGATCCCGGATAACGAATGTGGCAAGCGTTGGTACTCGGTGTATGTACATAAATCCGTGTCCGAAACAGAGCGAGGTCGAAGTACATTTTTCATCCGCAACATTATTCGGGGCGAAAGTAATGTTACATTTCACAGAACAACGCCGATACGATTCCGTATGTCGTAACAGCTGTGGCTAGATGGAGTGCATGCAGAGAGTGCAAGAGGAACAGGGACGAGAGAAGAGAGAAAACAGAAAGAGAAAGAGAAAGAGAGAGATGACAGTGGTGATGCCTGTGATCTACATTTTAATCTTGCCGCATCGATGAAAAGGGAGGGGTCAAAGCATCGTTTTGTTCATACGCGCTGGGAAAAATCAGATTCAATGGCTCGAACGCATTCGAACCGCATTGTCAAAGCCATTTGGAGGCGGCTGTCGCGTTAAAGATCTGGACTCGCGGGTTTTTTTTTTTTCTAAATACCGTCAAACGTCAAAAAAAGGAGATTTTTATTCTCGTGAATAAAAATAATAATCGAAGGAAGGTATTGAGTCTTCAAAGATCTGTCGTGTAATTGTAACCCGTACCATCGCTGGAATAAAATTCGCATTATTTTGGATGAGATGCTTTGATTTTCTGAAAAGTAGAAAAACGGCGGTGAGTGACTAGAGTCAGGAAAAATGGATTTTTTATAGAAGTAGAATAATTGTTGCATTTATTAATTTAACTTGTATATATATATATATTTTTTTTAAGAATTAATTTTTTTACGTCGTAAGTGATTATTCGTTATTTTAATGTTGATTTACTGTCGAAAGAAATGTAGTTTTTTAAATTGTCGTAATTATTATTCTTTCATTTTGTCTTTCCTTTTCGCAAAAGAAAAGGGGCTTGATCTACTTGTCAACTAGGTCAACTTCAATTGGTGAACTATATTAGAATAATAATTTTCTTAATCTTCAAATTTCTACAATTACAATGAAAGGTGATAAAGGAATGACACAAAATTTAAAATTAATCGTTGATTTATTGATTCTATAAAACATAAAAAATACATATATCAGAGAAATAAATTCGGCATGAAAATTATAAATTTATACTTTTCAACTCGAAACTGAATTTCAATGATCCTGAACGTAAATCACGATAAATTGTGAGATCGGTACGAAACGAGAATTAATGTTAATACAAATTGATAATTTTACAATTCTGCTATCTAAAAATTATTATTACCAGAATCAATGGCTCAGTGATTTTACGGATATTGATTTCCGCGCAGCTGTCGATACTGATAACGTATAAAAAACTTTATGAGTCTAAAATTATGAGTTGGAAAAGAATGAATTTTATTAGCCGCCCAGGAATATTCTATATTATTTCTTAAAATATATTTGTAAAGCGATTCATCATCTTATTAAAAAAAAAAAAAGAAGATGAAAATATGGTGGCTAACAAAAAGCTAACATAATTAATTCATTTTGTACTAAAGCAAAAGATATTTTTATTCGTAGTTTTTCGATCTTTAATAAAATTAGTCCAAGCCTTCGGTTGTTCGTTTTTATATATAGTTAATATGTGAAAATTCTCTCACGAGTATATTTAGTTACCATTATGAAACTAGTAGCCGAGATGATGAAAGACTTTTGCGCAATATGCTTCAGTACACATAGTAGTTTATTTATGGTTATAATAGATTGCACAAAAATATCGTCTCGCGGTTGTTTAATAATTAATTAACAGAAGAAATTTAATTCGACGAAGAATATCGGTTTCCAACGTTCACGTAATGTAGTAAAATGATTAGTATTATTTTTCATAACGGAGAGAAACCGACTAAGAATCCAATACCTTCATTAATATTCATCGTACAAATTCATATAAATACCTAATTATCAGATTGCGGGTTTTTACGCATTTTTGAATTTTGACAAACGTAACTAAAGAGAATGAAAGTAGAAATAGAAATTTATTTTGTCTACTGTAGGTGTATCATCAGATTTTTATTTTTACGAGTGTAATTAAGAAAAACTCTCGGGAAGAAAATTATTTCGTGTACCAAAAATACGTTTGTAGGCTTGAAGTCTCCTACAAACACATGGAAAATCCCTAGTTCAATTACGATGTGCGTACTTTACGCACTTGTAACATTGCATAAATTGGATTCAATGGACGTTTGGCACGTGAAACAATTTTCTCCTTAAGAGATTCTTTCTAATTGTATCCTCAATTTGCATTCAAAAAAAATCCCCAGTCTAGTAATAAATTCTGGATATTTCATTACCATTACATTTTAATGCATGAAATGTACATCTTTTGAAAGATCTACCATCCATCGATGGCAAATGAAATTGACGTAAAATTCCCAACGAACGGAGAAACTACAAGTATACACGTTTCTCCGTTTAATCGAGATCGTCCAACTGTTCCAACAGCAGCAGAACTCGAGTGAGTTCGTCGTCGGTGATGTGATCGAGGAAGGATAAAACGACGCAGGCGAACAGGAACTTGCCGACAATGTCTTCCCTCAAACGTTCGGCGTCTATCTCTGGATATTCAGATCGTACGGTGTCGACGTACAACGTCAAAATTTTCTGCACCTCCGACGGCCCGTTTTCACGCGTCACGTTATACAGTAGAATGGGCCCGAGATCGACAGCCGGCGAACAATATCTCATTGTTTGCCAGTCGATCACCTTCGCGTCGATCGGTTTCCCGTTCTGGTATTTGAACAGCAGATTATCGTGCGAAAAATGACCGTGGCATATTGTTGAAACGTCGTTCACCTCCGTCGCGATGCCTTTCACGATTTCCATCGGCCTCTTGTTTAACCTCTGTTTTATCCTCTCCGCGAAGCCCGAGTTCGGCATCGATCCCAGGATGTCCAGCATTCTGTAATTGTTTCACACGCGACTCTGAATTAATCCGCTGTTTATTTCGTCTGTTTGTTGTTTGTTGTTTAGTCGACGGATTGGGGAAATACGTGGGCACGCCTAGTTTCATTGCCTAAATACCTTTATGAAAATAAACCATCGTTTTCATACGTAGTTTCACTGCACAGTGACGTGGCAATCTCTAACAGTGAATAATGCAAAAAACTATGTTTGCAGCTCTACCGTGTACTCGAATATAAGAATGTACAGTATTTGAAATGTTTAAATATTTTGAAGGCAAGCGTCTTTTCCTAATTTTGGAAAAGGATATTTCGTCACTTTTCTGACCACCGTTCCGCCATTAAATACAGACTAAGCACTGGAATTACAAATGTGTCACTGCTTTTTTCATTATTATTATTATTATTCTGTGACTCATTGTTGGAAGATGCTGCTATGCGACTATTTATGAAAACAGAGTTTGCCAATCATTTGTTTTCATAAAGATGACGTCAGAAAAAACTTTCTTGAGCCACTGTTAATTTGTTACTCGCTTAATGGTTGAATAAGATAAAGATTATCTGAAAATATACTTTACTATTGCTCTAATATACTTTACTATTGCTCGAAGTAAGAATTATTTTGAAAAGTGTTATTATATGTATGTACATACATATATATATATATATATATATATATATATACATACGTATAAAGTGGCTGACGAAAGTATAAATAATATATTGGATTTTCATTTAGTTTGAAATGAGAGCAATAATCTTGAAAGACTTCTTTTTCGGACAAAAATTATCCAACTAATTACGCGTCTCTCGCCAATACCATTTTAATTAAAATCTTTTTCAGCGGACTTCTGTTCGCGATACTAATTAAAGGTTGACGCGCTTAATAAAATTGTCACCTAAATCAACTAACTACGCATCTTCCACAATTACCGTTTCCATCGTATTTCTCTTTTTTTTCTTTTCTTTTCTTTTCTTCCGTTCACGCTTCTCCTGTTAAATTAAAATTATCAACTAACTACGCGTCTTCTACGATTACTCATTTAATTTGAATTCCTGTCGCGTGGATTTCTGTCCGCGATACTAATTAAATATAACCGTTTCATTCGAATCTAATAAATTATAAGAGAATGACATGGATGTCAAACGTGAAATAGTTTTCGACCATCGACGTTATTGATGTCGGTAGCGATAGAACAGTAGCAACTTCCGTGTGAACGCAATAATCGACACGCAATTAAACCAGATAGAAACCAAAATTGATCGAGTCTCGAGTGATCGAGAGATTGACGCGGATCAATTAATTGCCAGTTTGTTAGAAAATCTGCAGCCAATGTCCGCTGTTCGATGAAATGTGTTACAATCGATTCATCCATAATGATTTCACGCACTTAATCACGCGGAGGTACATATCAGTTTCTATACTTTATTAGGTTTTCTGAAAATTTTCGTTCGACTACAATTTCATGAACGTTTCAATTTCAAAAGCGTAACTCGACATCTTCAATCGCGTGCAACCTACTTTCCTCCAAGCGTGAAAGAAATACGATCGTTATTTTCAATAATTTTTGTATTTCTTCACTTCGTATTTGACACTTTTCCGTCAATATTTAAACAACGTCACGTTCCGTACTTTTCAATTTAATTGAAGGGAGCAAATCGTGATGATGTTCAATATCAAAATTTCTAAAATATCATCGCAAAATGTGAACATGTGCTATTGTAGACGTTGAAAAGAGATCGCTGAATTCTAATCTATCGTTGAAAGTTTTCATGAGCTCCGGTTGCCGAAAGCTTCTCGCTAGATTTCTCGCCGAGAACTTCCCTCTCGAGCACTGTTCCTCACAGTTCTCTCTCGCCTGTATGCGTCGCGCATTTCACGAACGTATTCGTTAGATGGGTACGCTTTTCGAATATACGATACGCGAGCGCGTAAATTGTCTCGTAAAGAGGTATGCTAGAGGTATAGTAATAAATGATAATGTGGTTTCAGGAGTAGTTGACTCTGTTAGAAAATTAAATTGCGACGCATATTTGGAACAAAAGTGAAAAGCGTGCGCTTCAGTGAAATTTCTTATGTTCCAATTTCACTTTTATAACAATACACAATGTATCACAAAAAATTTATACAGTAACAATAATATACAATATATTATATGAAATTATACAATAATAATAATGTACAATATATAAAATTTATACAATAACAATAATATACAATATATTACATATTTTATATATGTAATATATATAAAATACAATATATTATATATTATATATATAATATATATATAATACAATATATTATATATTTTATATATATTATATATTATATATATTATATATATATTTTATATATATTATATATTATATATATATAATATATAATATATAGTATATTATTATCATTGCATAATTTTATATAATATATATTATATAAAATATTTTATAATTTTACAATATATATATTATATAAAATTTACGTATAATTTATATATTATATAATATTTATATATTACGTATAATTTATATATTATATAAAATTTATATATTATATAATATTTATATATTACGTATAATTTATATATTATATAAAATTTACGTATAATTTTACAATATTTATATTATATAAAATTTACGTATAAAATTTCTTCTTATGCTCGACCATGTCTTTATTAACGTTAATAAACGTATTTTAACAGTTTAGAAGAAAATAATTATAGCGCGGACGGTGCCATTTCTGCAATATTAGAGGACCCATTAAAGATACCAGCTGAGAGTAAAGACGATTTGTTAAACGTTGCCACAGGATATCCTGTCGTGTAATCCTACGTCGTAATACCAATTTTACTCGCTCGTGCATTCAACAAATGGGATGCTTCTTGTTCAACCCTTAAACGCAATTAGTAACGCTTAACTAGAATCAAGAACATTTTGCGTTAAACATTCACGCTCTTTATTTATTCTTCCTGCTTATTTATTAGTCTGGTATTTATATTTTTTATTAGTCTGGTATTTGTATTTTTTATTAGTCTGGTATTTATATTTTTTACTAGTCTGGTATTTATATTTTTCTAACTTTATCGAAAGAAAAAAAAATTGTCACCGTAACAGCGTCATTAGAAAGAAAAAAGGAAGCGTCAAATGATTGATAAACGAAGGATTAACAACACGTTGAAGCATTGTACAATACAATTTGAACGACTTTCACGAAATTGCTTATTCACGTTGCCATAGGTCCGCGTATTTGTTATTATCAAGTGATAGATAGTAAAGACGAAGTCTTATCGTACGATTCTCCGAAATTCAGATGTTTTTTTCTGTTTTCACAGAGCGAAGACACTCCAATTTTCGATCAGGACATATTTGGACAATTGAACATTTCTTTGTCAACGCGCGTGCCCACATTGTCAAGCATAATCTCAACAATACGAGTGACAATTTCGTCGTGATTGTCCAACTACAAATTTTTCAAATAAAATGGAAAAAGGTTAACTAAACTGGAACCCAGGTAAGGAATTGTTTCATGTGTTGTAGCTACTATAATTTAGACATTTTCACCGCCTCTCTCAAGCACTGTTCACTTTTACCATAAAATGAGTATCGATCCTTCCTTCGCGTTGAGTATTCCATTACGAATTACAAATTTCGATACATTCAATCTATTATTTCAAGCTATTATTAAGAAGAGATTACCATTGATAACGTATCTTTATCATACACGTTTATTACGAGCTCTCGATTCGTCGCTTCTTGGCCAAGGTCTTTAAATTTCGTCTTCCAACCGTCTCCAGTCCGTTTGATTTAATCTGTCCGATCGACGAAGGGGCAACGAAACTTACCTGGTTGATCGTTTCTCGTAATGCGACATAGCCTCGTCGGTGAGCGAGATCTCCAGAAGTTTCGCCTGGAATTCTCGGAAGATCTGCGGTTCGGTCGCTCTCAGTCGCAGCCCTCTGGCGTGAAACTTGGCGAGAACTTGCACGCACAGTTTCAAGTGATCCTCGTCCAGCTCGCCGTCCACCTGCGCGTAACCGGCCTCCTCCAGATCCTCGAGAACGATCACCGGCCTCCCGTAGCGACCCAGGTCCGACAGGTAGCACCTCGGGACCAAATCGGTCCCGTAGCTCCGCGTCATCTTCGAGTAGAACATCTCCTCGTTTTGGTACGCGTCGAACGCCGTCGGTGACTTGTGCTCGGCCCCATCCTCGGGCAGCAGTTTCACCAGCAGTGGGAAACTGCTGGGCTCCCCGGAGAATTTCACCACGATGTTGACGCGGTAGATCTCGCTGCTTCGGCTTAGCTCGTCGAGACGGATCGTGGCCGAGTCGAACTCGACGAACTCCCTGGAACTCGGCTCGCAGAAGCAACGATCGTGCACCATCTCCGGGAGCAGTTCCTGCTCGATGAACGCGATGCTTCGCTCCCACACCTCGTGGGACTTCACGCTCGAGGGTACGTCGTCGAGCCGCTGCTGCCCCGTCGTCTGGGCAAGCAAATCTGAAGAATGAAGCCGAACGATCATACGCCGATCGTAATATCGATTTTTCGATTCGCGTCGCGTTGAAAAGAAAATTGTGTTTGAGGCGACGTGGCGATTAAATTAACCTAACGACACGAGGGAGAATTAACCTTTTTATAGGCTGTCCCTTCTGAGGCGCATCGTCCTTCGAGATTGTTAACGAGTCGACAGAATTTCAAGTTGTACAAGTCAGATTGTTAACCTCTTGCGCTGGAATGACGTGCCACGCACGTCGAGAATCTTTTGTCCCAAATTGCGACATTTCCTCAGTTTTACGTATATTTAAATGTAACCCAGGCGAAACGGATAATAAATTTATTACTTTCTAATAATTTCTATCCAGTGATTTCTATCATGCCGACGAGTTTAGAAGAAAAAGAAAGCAACAAATTACTGTATACGATTCGGTCACTCGTTATGGTCCGCGAACCACTTGAATGACGTGCCACGCACGTCGAGAATCGTTTGTCCCAAATTGCAACAATTCTTCAGTTTTAAGTATATTTAAGTGTAACCCAGGCGAAACAGATAATTAATTTATTACTTCTTAATCATTTCTGTCCAGTGATAATATACTGACGAGTTCAAAAGGAAAAGAAAGCGACGAATTATTGTCTACCGTTCGGTCACTCGTTATGGTCCGCGAACCAGTTGCCAGCGCAAGAGGTTAATGAGTCGAGGTAGCGAGTTTGTACATATAATAAAGAATTTTAGATTTTCACGCCAAGTTTAGGTTTCAGGTCTTTTTAGTAAGTTTGTAACTCTATGATCCTCCTCGTTATTTAACCCACGTCCCTCTACTTTCCAACAAAATATCGAATATCGTTAATTCTCTGCACTCGACTGTCCCTTCTGAGGCGACATCGTCCTTAAATCTAGCCAACAGCTCGGACTTCCTCCTTTTTTTAATTTTTTGATAATTATAACAAACGTGTACATGTGATGTTGTTTGATTATAATAGCATAATATCTGAACAGACGCTTGAATGTGAAAGTTATAATGACGACGTAAGAAGAAGAAAAGAATTTCAGATGAAGAAATTTCTGAAGACAGTCCTGAATCAATTGACACTTATTGAAATAATTCACATAAACTAGACTTCTTACTGCTTTTCGCGAAAGTTTAAAAAATAGAGGATATTATTTTTCCAGAGATTGAGAACATGTGTCGTTAACCTTTGTATTATATTATATTTGTTCTAGCAAACTCGTTGATGCACGTTGATGATGAAATTTAAACAATACCACATGTCAGAATGATATGTTCAACAAAATTTCGTTAAATACCATTGAATAATTTCCAATAATTATCAATTATTCGCAATATCGCTGTATCATTTTATTTGATGTGACGCTTCAATGTAAATAAATTGTTGATAGATGGTACGTGCAGAAAAAAATTTTCGAGGCCAAAGGATGAACTAAATTTACGGATTTTTCCATACATTTGTAGAAAGTTCAGAGATGCAAAAGTTCACATACTCTGTAGGAGAATGTGTGAGAGAAAAATTTCCGTTTATACATCAATACTTGTAACGAGAAAATGCAAATATAGATTTACAGCGGTGATATTGTTAATTCTGACGTTCATAAACTTCAAATGAAAGTGAAAGCACATACGAGCACATATCATCGAAATATTTAGCAGACGAAAATAAATTTCTCCTTACTTTCCATTTTTCAAGTTGGCGCCCACGAAGGTGTGAAAAGCACACAAAGATCCTTTGTGTTAAAGTTGATGCTTTGTGAAACAAACAAATGAACTGCTATCTAGACGAGCGTTTAAAGTTCAAACTGATTAACGCTGAGTCGATGGTAGTAAAAAGTCGGTTGACGTGTTTTCTTTCTATACTTGCTCGACAACAGAAGGAGAAGAGCGTAACGTACGAAATCGAGACTAAAAAATCGAAGCTGTCCCCTTCGGTTATCTCGATATTATCGAACTGGAACGAACTGATAATTTCTATCCAACGGAGTCTTCGTTCTCTGGATAAATGAAGCACGTGTGTAGAAAATAATTCATCGTATCTTCTTCTCGATGCAACGTTTCTTTCTTTTTTTTTTTTCTTCCAATTGATTATTAACTGCGTTATAACAACCGTGGATGGTTTCCTCTTCTCGACTGATCTTCACATTGAACGTAACCTGGATAAAACTGGAGTAATAAAAGATTCTCTGGTTATCTGGAGGAAGAAATCCTCCTTATCTTCCCTCGTCGATGCACTGTTCCCTCAACTTGGATGAGTCTATTTTCAGAACTGGTTGCCACACGACGATTGGACGATTATTAGATATCAGAGAGAATTCCCACGTAAAACAGCAAACGCGATAATTTACGAGAGAAACGAGGGCAACGCCAAGACTTCTCCACTGTCCGCGGAGATTACAAGACGGCGCACGGTTGATGATGTAACAGCTAATGTAAGAACACTCGTGAATCGACGTCGAATCTCCTCTACGTTCGACACTAGATAATCCGTGACAAATTTGGACGAAACGAAGAAGAGCGAAGGTGAGCGAACGATTCTGTCTCGGTTCTGTCTCAGGAGGATTGTGAATGTAGGAGGAGGCTTGTCGATGACAAAGGTGTAAGTTTATCGGTGATGGATAACGTGTGTAGATGGATGAGCACGCGTCGCGACGAGTCAGCCGCGAGTAACCAGCTGGAAGTATTGTACGTGCAATAGTATCGTAGGAAATCGTGTATGCCAGTTTCCCCTCCACCCGGTTCAGATAATGAAGCTCTTATCTTCTAATGACGTCAGGGACCGAGCTCAGTCCCGTCCGCGACTTTGCGCGCTGTTTGCGAATTGCCTGAAGTGGCGACTGGACGAGGGAAGTATACATTCGCAGAAGTTTCAGTCGGTCTGAATTTTCTTTCCAGGCACCAGTGTTCTAATGAAATCAGCAAATTTGTAGATAAAATCGTGGCTTTCGGCACGCTACGAATTTTCAGGCAGACCGAGGAGCACTGTCACCGCGACAGAGTTCAATTTATACGCGAAACATAGATTTTCAAAGGTCACGTTTTTTCTCATAAATGTCGTTTGCTATAAATGAGCATCACGTCGATCTTTCCTTCGTTGAGTATTCCATTATGAATTACTTAGTAAATTTCGATACACTCAATCGGATTTCAAGCTATTATTAAGAAGAGATTATCATTGTTAATTTAATAAATAGTAAACTTCTTTATTATACACATTTATTACAAGGCTCGTCACTGTCGCGTCTTGGCCAAGGTCTGTGAACCCGATGGAGTTCAATTTATACGCGAAATTTAAATTTTCAAAGGTTACGTTTTTCCCATAAATGTCTTTTGCTATAAATAAGCATCACATCGATCTTTCCTTCGTTGAGTATTCCATTATGAATTACTAGTAAATTTCGATACACTCAATCGGATTTCAAACTATTATTAAGAAGAAAGTATCATTGTTAATTTAATAAATAGTAAACACCTTTATTATACACATTTTTATTACAAGGCTCGTCACTGTCGCGTCTTGGCCAAGATCTGTGAACCCGATGGAGTTCAATTTATACGCGAAATTTAAATTTTCAAAGGTCACGTTTTTTCTCATAAATGTCGTTTGCTATAAATGAGCATCACGTCGATCTTTCCTTCGTTGAGTATTCCATTATGAATTACTTAGTAAATTTCGATACACTCAATCGGATTTCAAGCTATTATTAAGAAGAGATTATCATTGTTAATTTAATAAATAGTAAACTTCTTTATTATACACATTTATTACAAGGCTCGTCACTGTCGCGTCTTGGCCAAGGTCTGTGAACCCGATG